GTGGTGTTGGGGAAGGAGGTAGATGCTTTCAGCAAACATTAATGTGCACAGGTACTGTGCGGGAAGCCAGGACTGAGTAAAAAGTGAGTAACACGCATGTTCTTGCACATCTCAGCACCTGTGTACATTTCCTTCCCTTTGTCTGAAACCACCTGCCCCTACCCTACCCCATTATCCCTCCAGTGATACCTTCCTTGGGCTCCTAAATTAAATTATATCCTCTCTTTATGAGCTATCAGAGCTTCAGATGGTTCTCTATTGTAGCCCTCCCTATAATTTAATTATATTTGATTTTGTAGTTTCTCTTTCCTTTTAGACTATAAACGCCATGAAGAGACTGTTCATGTTGCCTTATTCACAGCTATATCCCTAGTTTTTGAACAGCACACAGGAACAGCTAGCAATAGATATTTGCTATATTAATGTAGCAATACATTAATGAATGAACAGTATATCCCTAACTTCAGAGTGCTTACAATCAAATAGGGAAGAAAGACAAAGAAACTACTTGCCAGCAGTAAAGACATGACAGGGAACCACAGGAACCTCACTTTTTAAAAATTTAATTTAATTTTTAAATTTACATCCAAGTTAGTTAGCATATAGTGCAACAATGATTTCAGAAGTAGATTCCTTAATGTACCTTACCCATTTAGCCCATCCCCACTCCCACAACTCCTCTAGTAACCCTCTGTTCTCCACATTTAAGAGTCTCTCATATTTTGTCCCCCTCCCTATTTGTATATTATTTTTGCTTCCCTTCCCTTGTGTTCATCTGTTATGTGTCTTAAAGTCCTCATGTATTTGTCTTTCTCTGACTAATTTTGCTTAGCATAATACCCTCTAGCTCCATCCACGTAGTTGCAAATGGCAAGATTTAATTCTTTTTGATTGCCGAGTAATACTCCATTGCCGAGTAATACTCACCTCTTCTTTATCCATTCATCCATCGATGGATATATGGACTCTTTCCATACCTTGGCTATTGTTTATAGTGCTGCTATAAACATTGGGGTGCATATGCCCCTTTGAAACAGCATACCTGTATCCCTTGGATAAATGCCTTGTAGTGCGATTGCTGGGTCGTAGGGTAGTTTTTTAGAAATTTTTTGAGGAACCTCCATACTATTTTCCAGAGTGGCTGCACCAGGGAACCTCACTTCTAATGCTAATCTTGGTATCATTGAAGACTCCCCAAAGGAGGTGATGGATACATTATGAAGGTTGAAGAGTTAGAGGAAGGAAGACACTGCTAGTGGAACAGGGTGAGCAAAGGCCAGTGTGTCCACCTGCTATGCAGGAAGGCATTCACAAGATGGTTGGCCATAGGCGTATGGAGTTCACAGGAGGGTTCTTTTAATATATTTGCTTACTGGTAGTATTTTTTTTAAAGATTTTGTTTTCTTTTAAGTAATCTCTACACCCAATGTGGGGCTGGAACTTATAACCTCGAGATCAAGAGTCACATGCTCTACCTACCGAGCCAGCCCATTACTGATAGTATTAATAAGGGATATGCAGTGAGGTCAGAATGTTATCCTTAATGAACTCAGAAAGATCCTGACTGCTTATGTTTAATGTTGTCTGTAAATACATAATATGTTAATAACCTCTTACAGAGTAGACCAAGAATAAACAGTCACTTCCTACTGTGCCTTTTCCCTTTTTCCCCTTTTTGGGGGAAATGAAGACATTGGCCTATCTCTGAGATAAACATCTCCAGAATTCCTCATGGTCTGCTGAAAACCAGTGTGCAGCCATAACAAAGTTTTTAGAATAACTCTGAGTGATCTGAGTATTTTGGAAACATCTTGAAAAATATGCTATGCATAACCATAGTTACTTAAAATGATATTTATAATGATATGAGCTAAATATTATGTTATTTATTACATGCCAGATACTTACTAGCTTTTTGCAGTAATAACTTTGATCTTCAAAACAACACACAGAAGTAGATACTGCTCTCATGTCCTACAATGAAGAAACTGAGGCACACAGAAATGAAGCATCTTGCCCAAGGTCACTCAGAAAACAAATGGTGAAACATGAATTCAATCCAAAAAGTCGGTCTTCAAAGCCTACACTTTGCAGCTTCCTCCCATTATGCTGTGGTTTCTCCTGAAAATTTAATGCCGCTTTTGGAGCCAAGACCCACACCCTATGCTTTTTTCAGATATCTCATAGAATCCAGAAGTCAAAATTGGAAAGGTCCCAGAAGAGGTAGACAGTCTGCTCACTGTTGGTACTCCTGGAGAAGACATTCTTAGAACAAAATCAGTATTTCTCAAAGAATGCCATGCATACTACTGGCGATGTGCTAGGTGACTTTGAATATGCATGAGCAAACGGTTCCATATTCATAGCTATGTATATTTAAAATATGCTTCGGATAGACATTATGCTAATATGCATTATGATAAGATATTTTGTGTAATTATCTTGGTTTTTAATTTGAGAAATATCAAAAATATATAACTGGAGAAATAATGTTATAACAATAACTTCTATAGCCATGATTTAGTGCAGAAGTTGTTGATATTTTATTTATTTACTGGTTTATTTGTTCAACAAACATTTATTGAACACCTAATATAGGTCAGGGACTGTTCACAAATAAAAAGACAAGCAAATAAAAAATCCCTGCCCCATTATAGCTTCCATTCTAGTGGGGAGAAACAGATACCAAAAAATGTAGAAGGACAAATAAATAATATACTATGTTAGAAGATGACAAATACCATGGAAAAACAGAGTATCCTAAGAAAGGAGATGGCAATGGAGAGAAGGAGTGAAATTTTAAACACTTAAAATGATTACAAATAAAGTTGAAGTCTCTGTGTTAGCCTCCCAAAATATATTATTTTGATTCAGGTTCCTTTCTCTGAGGACACTCTCTGTACCATGCTTATTTTTATTTATATTCTCCTGAAGCCAGAGACAAATTTCATTTTAAAATAAGTAACAAATAATTAAAGTAGATAAAAATAAATGGTAAACAATTAAATATTAAAAAAAAACCTATTATTAAATAATGATAATAATGCTGCATGGATGTGGCAAAAAGTGCAAGAGCATTTGAATGATTAAATTATTCACACAGGGAGCACCAAACACTTTTTTCTTCCCCCATTGATTCTGCCTGTGTTGATGGGAGGAGGGAGAAAAATTGGACTCACTCTCCCCAATCAAGTCAACTTTTGGCGTGAAAGATGAAATGCTTCCTCACAAGGCCAGAGGGGAGGGTTCTGTCACCCATCACGCCTGAGATTCTACAACCCTTATTTCCTGCTTACTTACATGAGTACCTCTGTGGAGACAGCAGAAGGTGAAATGCAGAGAAGAATACAAAAAGAAGCAAGACCATTACAACCCATTCCCTTCTGTTACGCGACTACATTTACATGACGCTGATGTAGAATTATGTGCAGACTGCATGACTGTTCAGGGGCTAATGGGCGAGGCAGGGGCCACGAGGTGCACAGAGCAGGATGCAGGCTTCTCCTTGCAGAGAACCAAGAGGCGATGCCAAGTGCTAAGGATGAGTGCACCCCTTTCCTTGACCACTGAACTATCTTCAAGTCAGTGTTGCTAGGGTGTACCTGGGTGGCTTTGTGAGTTGAGCATCTAACTTTGGCTCAGGTCATGATCTCACTGAGTAGGGCTCTGTGCTGACAGTGCAGAGCCTGCTTGGGATTCTGTCTCTCCCTCTCTCTCCCTGACTCATGCTTTGTCTCTCTCAAAATAAATAAACTTAAAAAAAAAGACTTAGAATATCCTCAGTTGTCACATTTTACAGAACCTTTAATCTCTCAGGATCTCTCTGTCTTTGCTATCATCATCACCATCACATTTATCATGTATTGTTTTCTCTCAATTTTTTGCCTTCTCTGAACTTGCCATGCTATTCCTTGATCCCTTGGATTAAGAGGCAGCTACGATGTACTACTACTAACTACTACTAGTAAGCATTTGTTTGTATGTTTACTACATGCCAAGTGCTTTTAATGCATTATTTCATTAATCTTTACCATGACTGCATGAGATAGATACTAACATCATCTGTAATTTATAGTTAGAAACAGAACTCACCAAGAACTCGGAACACTGCTGATTTCACTTCCTTTTTCTACCTACCACCCTGACTACCAGCTGGCTTGGGAACTCCAAAAGGGCATCTATGAAAGTGGCATCCGTGAAAATGGCATACAATTTCCTGCAGGAAATTTAACACTCCAGGAGTTTGACATTATAAAGGCCTGGAACTATCCACCAACTGGTTGGTGTTACCGAGAACCACGATTACTCAAGAAATTTCTGTTCCCTCTGTTTCAACTTTCTTTTCCACAGGGGAGTGCCAAATACCTCCAAATCCTATTCAGAGAGAGAACTGGAAAAACAGTGAGACCAAGTGACTCACTTGAGAAGAACAAGCAGAGAGTAGTGCTAAGGAATCAGACTTTTATTTTATTGCAAAGTCCAGCCGCTTACTTTGCTTTTTAACAACCTTGAGTGACATTGGGTAAAAGATACTATCAAGGACAAACATATTTGGAGTAATTATAATCTCTGATTACACGATATGATTTTCTTCATTTGTTATGTTTTTTTCTGATGGCAAATTTTAATACATTCTGTTGGAAAACCTTAGAAAGTGCAAAAAATAGCTAAGCTATTTTGTATGTTTCAGCCTTGATTTCGATTACATTCAAATTATTCTCCTCTTTTGCCTCTGCACCCTTGCCCCATTTTTAAAGACCCAGAGTCCAGGGTAGGAGAGACCCAGAGCATCCCAGAGGGCAGCAGCACAAATTCACTCCCCTCCAGCCCTGCAGCTCATTTCACCCATCTCCCCTCCCCCTTAGTCTGGTGGCTCACCATTGGTCGTTGCCATGACAACCAGCAGCTGCCAGGACAGGCAGCCTCTACCGCAGCAGGGGTGGGGCCTTGGGGGAGGGGGCAGGAGAGGAGGAGCCAGAGGAGGTGTCTGCTGCAAGTTCCTGGCTGCTTCTGAGCTCACCCCATCCTCCGAGAGGGAGGAGGCCAAGTGGTGATGCCGCTGCTCCTGTCGCCTCGACTGCTGATGCTCTAGTGAGGCTGGAAGGGTGGTTCCTCTTCGCCCCGTCGCCAACCAGAGAGCGAGGGAAAAAAATCCCACCGGCAGCTGCTGATGTTGGGTTCGGAGGCTGCATCCGACTCGGTCACAAGGAAAATGGATTCAGTTTGCATCTCTCCCTCCTTTCAACAGCTTCTCCGGGTCTCAGCATGGTAAGCAGGAGACTGTGGGGCTATCTTCTTGGTGTAGCTGCCTGTTAAAGGACCTGTGTGTACATTTGCGGCCAGCACTTGAACAATGACTCCCTCAGAGTAGGAGAGGAAGATGTGGAGACAGAGATGGGGATGGAGGGAGAGGAAGGTTGCCAGGAAGAGAGAAGTAAGAAAGCATCCGCTGTGTATTTAAAAAAAAAAAAAAAAAGAAAGAAAAGAAAAAAGGTCTGATTTTATCTTGAACCGGCTCAGAATGCAGACTGAGCCACTTGGTCCCTTTCCTTCCAAGCTTAGGAGCAGAATCAGGGGTGGAAAAAGACCTAACAAGAAATGGGTGTTATTGAAAGGACTCATTTAATTTGCAGCTCTCACATACAGGGTTGGGCCTTCCTCAAAAACCCATTTGGTGCCTCCTGAGCTTCCCGGCCTAATTATAAGGTGATTTTGCTTATTTCCTTCATCGCTAAGAAAAGGTGGCCCCGGAATTTATCATTCCATTTCATATTCTAATGCACTCTTGTTGAGAAGCGATTTGCTGGAGAGAGTTTGATTTTTAGTAGATAGATGTGATTGTGAACATACAAATGTGTATCCTATGGATATACATATCTTATATACACATGTTTCTAGTGCATTTAGGAAACATTTATATGCATACTGTGCTTTGCAATCATATTTATGGGTTATAAATGTCCTTGCATGCTTGGAAGTAATTGCACATTTTTGAAACTATGCTTCTGGTTTGTATTATTATTCAGTGGCTTCATTTGGATTAATGTGAGATTTATTCTTGTTATTGTCCCTTAGTTTCATTGTGACCAATTAGGACAGATGCCTATCATTTAATTCTGTATCTTAGCACTAGATACGAATTCACAGCCTGCCTCTTTTCTTTATTTTTAATTGGGTTTGTGGGAGGTGACTTGAGAGCCCTGAATTTACAATGATGGGAAAGGGAGGTGGCTTGTGGTATTATTTTGTGTCCAGCATCTTGCCAAGTGAATATTGAAACAAATCAGTTTTCTCAAAATTCCACTCCATCCCCTTCATGTTTATGCCTTGTGTCCCAGGGAAGCACAGACAAGCTGGAAGGTGAAATGCATTCATTTTTATTTGATAAGGCTGCTTGCTATTTGGTCTTCATTCCTTCAGTATCCAGGCACCATTTTATAGTTCTCTCAAATGTTGTATTATGGGTCTATTTATTTAGGTGGTTAAGTAGGAAAGTGGGATTGTTTTGAAAATATAGGTGTTCCCAAGTATCTTAGCCGTTTCCAAATTAGCCTGCTTATACAATGAAATGAAACAAGAGAGTGAGCAAAGCTTAGCATGAGAATGTGTGGCTTGTAGCCCGAAATGGGGGGCTGTTGTAGTTTACAAATGCTTACTGGGATCTGTTTGACCTTTATTATGTCAAGGCTTTAAGGCAGCTCAGGAGACTGAAGATGCCTGAAATGAGTAGGGTACAGGGCTCCATTACTACCCGGGATAATGGATCTCATTGAATTAAAGCCAGAAAAATCCTTGCAGGTAAAAGTGTATTACAGTCATCATATGGACTAGTTTTATCCATCCATCTCTTCTCAAACAATATCACTGTCAGTGCAAACATTTTTTTGCAATGTAAAGTAACATTATTTTTTGTCTTAATCTTGCATTTTATTTTACACACTGCCCCCTCAGTTAAAATTTTTACATGTGTTTGAATCAAGTTTATAGTTTAATTTCTCAGAGAATAAATATTCTAGTTGGTTTATGTATAGGAAGATTTAGTGGAAGAATGGATTTAATATGCTCACAGCATGTCATATATTATGTAGATTCACAACTCTAAAGTCATGCTATCGTGTGCCTAATTATAACAGCTAAATAAAGTAGAGCAAGGAAAGAGGTACTGGTCTTACATGTCATATCAAATATTTATAACACACTGCATCCTACATCTTTTAATAACTTTCGACTTCCAAAAATTAAAATTTCAGATATATGAACAGTAAGCTTAAGAAATTAAGACATGTTTTGGTTGACCCTGTTTCATGCAATGGGGCTTTGTTTTATTTCCTTTGTGTTGAGTTTTCATTGGGTTGTGGTTTTATAGGAGAAGTTGGTATAGTTAGGGCAGAGGCCAATCACTGTAGGCCGTGGACACAGAACAGATTATCAGTAGTAGTACGTTTCACCTGTGTGGTAAGACCCTGATGGGAATCATAGACCTAGTTTTTGATCCCACAGCTTGAGACAATTATATGGCCTTTGCTGAAGGGCCACACAAAAATGAAGTGTGTTTAAAGGACTACAAGTGGAATTCTCTAACAAAGGATAAGGAAACTAGAATTATTTCATTTGGAGAAGAGAAAATTGAGAGAAGACAATCATTTGCTTCAGAAGACCTGGGGTTTATTTGGAGCCTAAAATTTAGTCAGTGGGCGTCATCAGGAAGAATGAAGATTAGAAATATAGAATGTAGAGGGACACCTGGGTGGCTCAGTTCATTAAGCGTCCAACTCTTGGTTTTGGCTCAGGTCATGATCTCGAGGTTCATGAGTTCAAACCCCACATCGGGGATCCTCTCTCTCCTTCTCTCTGCTCCTCCCCTGCATGTTCTCTCTCTCTCAAAATAAATCAATAAACTTAAAAAATATATATATAGACAATGTAGAACTTCCTGATAGCAAAGTTGAGTTGTCAACTGGGCAACCAGATTAGACCGTGCATTCTTTCTTTCATCAAAACCTCCAAAAGTTTGACCTAGACATGCACTTATTTCAGATAGTGTAGACTAGATTCTTTGTCAAGAACTTCTCTGGCTTTTTCTAGAGTAAACTGTCTATTTTAAAGTGTGCTTTAGTTGTTTAATATCTGGTACTTCGAGATCTGTAACATTAAGACTCCATTTTGCAGTGGGCTTCTAAATTACAGAATCTGTATATTTTTAAAGAAATCGATTGACCATCTGCTTGGAAAATTTTATATGTCATCTTGTCAGGATGCACGGAACTAAATATTGGCCTCTTCATAAGATTCTTTTCTCGCAACTTTGTGTAGTCTGATATCTAACAGTCATATTAAAATTATTCCCTGTTGTATGGTTAATTTTGAAAACTAAAATGTGGTTGAGTGGGTCTAGATACAAAATAATTCAGAAGCCATCAAGTTGATTTCAGAACAAAGTATTTGAAAAATACATGCAAGTTATTGTGTAAATGTGCTGTTTAACAACATACAAATTTTGTTAGTTACCCTTTTCTCAAACACTGTCTTGTAAGTGCCAATCGTGTTGGAATGTTAAATATTTTGACTAGAAATTTGTTTTAGTTAGAGCATAGCATACATTATCTAATTCCTCACTTTGTAATAGGATGTTCCCTATTTCTTCAAGTGACCTCAGAACATATTTCAATTTTATGTACATGCTTCTAGACTCCAAAAGGATGACTTAGTAAATGTCTGAAAAGTCAAAACCATTTTCTACATTTCTCATAGATTCGTAAAAAGATTAATGATTTGTTTTCCATGATTACAACCTAAAAGAAAACCAAATTTATCATGGACGTTTCAACATAAATAACTCAAGAATCTGTTGTTCTGCCTGAAATAAATAAACCAGATTTATACCTGAGTGTTAATGTGAGAGGTCAGTTACAAAATTCCTCCTGTTTGTATATCCCAACTATTATTCTACCAAGTAAAAACTGTGTTTTTACAGAAGAGGAATTAATCATATAATCAAACTATTTGTAGAGCTCTTATATGACTGGACAAATTTGCATATCCTAGGAATGTAGAATATCCTACATATTCTGTAGGATATACAGATATATACGTAAGATATATAGATGTGGAAAGAATATAGTTGTAATAAGTACTACCATTACACCTTACATTAATATCATCTTTTGTAGTTCACAAAGTCTTTTTACATTCTTTATTTTTCATCTAATATTCCCCCACATTCTATCTTGCTGGTAAAACTGTGTCATTATAACTATTTTAGATGTTTTTTTTTAAGTTTATGTATTTATTTTGTGTGTGTGCGACAGAGAGAGAAAGAGAGAGAGAGAGAGACTGTGCACGAGTAGGGGAGGGGGAGAGAGAGAATCCCAAGCAGGCTTCACACTCCACACTAAGCCCCACACTGGAATCTATCTGAAAATCTGAAGATCATGACCTGAGCCAAACCTACTTACTGAGCCACCCGGGTACTCCATCATTATAGCTATTTTAAATAAGTGGAAACAGGCTCAGAGAAGTTAGACTTGTCCAAGTTTGGGTTTGGTAAATGGTCTAACTGGACCTGGATATCAAATCCCATGAGCCCACATCTACCATGTTAGAACATTTAACATATTATCTTGCTAATTAGAATTTTAAAATATCAAATATAGCAAATCTGCATTAAATGTGGCTATTTGTATTTGACTTTTTATTTGAATACGTCAGGTGCCATGATTTGCTCTTTGATCACATTGAATTGCCAAATAGACTCAGTGTATGCTTAGGGTATCAGCCTCCCCCTCCAAAAATGGTGTATGCAAAAATTATTTTGGAGAAAAGCTGGATTCTTGATATTTTAGAAAAGCATAGTTGCATTTGTTTGGGGAAAAATCAGAACTTTGTTGGATTGATGTGCCCTTATTTTATGGCTAAGTATTGTTTTTATTTTTAGTGACATCCAGCTTGGGAAGTAACGTAATTTATTTCTGTGCTTAGGACCAAATTAAGATTTCTGTAGACCTCGGACCTTGAAAACACTTAGCCATACCTCCCACCTATACTTCCTAAGCATCGTTCCATGTACATGTTCTTATAATTAAAAATGATATTAAATCATAAAAATGTGTACATCAGTTCAACAGCTTTCTGATATTTTCCCTCGGCAAATACTTTTACACTTTTGTGAAATACCAACAATTTAGTACTTTTCTCCAAAAATATTCTAATTTTTTGGTGTCTTCCTTTCTTTGCCAATGCCCTAGGCACATACTTTGTGTCTGACTATT